TCGAATCACACCAGAGCAAACGCCTCCTCCCGGGGTTTCTTCCACGGGGGGGTCCCTTTGTCACCGGAGGAGAAGAGACCCGTCACAAACAAACTGCTTCAAAGCTACAGATAAACCTTTCCAGGCACTTTCCATGGGCCGTATGCGCAGCCTGGGGGAAGGAAGCATTCACACCGAGACCAGCCCGGCTGTAGTTTCAAGGCGAGTTAAACTTTCTGCCCAGATTTTTAAAACCCCACCCAGTTTGGGGGTGGATTTTAGCACTTCACTTTAGAAAAGCCCAAACCAATTCCTCCTTCAAGCACTAGAGGCTGTTTTCAGGTGTCGTTCCACTTCCCCCCAGCTCATCCCTTGCTCCAGCCTCCCGGCGCCCCGCGGCTGATTTTACCCGAGCTGTGGTTTTGGGGCAGTGGAGCCAAGTTCCTGAAGTACAATGCAACGCGACATTTCTCACGTGTTAGATCATGTCTTAAGCTGCTGCTTTGACATGATCTCCCGAAGAAGTGCCAAAAATGACAAAGTAGTAAAGAAAGAAAAACCAACAGGAAAAGATTTTTAAATCAATTGGCATTCTTAAGTTATGTAATAGAGCAAAGCAGGGACTTTTAGGCCAAAAAACCCACCAAACCAAGGACAAAGTTTTCTCCTTTCCTTCCATGCTGTATGATCTAGGATGCTTCCAGCCTTCATTTGTTCCTACCAAGGCCTCACCATCACCAAACTTCATCCCCTCTAAGGCCTGCAAAGCCCTGCTTGGAGCCCTTTTCCTACACCGATACCTCTGCAACATCTTCCCTACGCACACTTCCACAAGTGCCCAAGCACGCGGCCCCGTTACCCTGCCGTTACCCCCGCAGTTGCCATTCTTCCATCCCTTGTTTAACAGACCAGACAAACCCCTTGGGGTTGCGGTCCCAGCCGCCGGCCGGGCGATGCCAGCAGGTTGGAACAACCTCCCCCACCCTGAGAAACCATGCAGCAATGGGGACAACCCCTCCTGGCCACGCTGCCCCTCCACGGGGGTGTTTCTGAACCCGGGCTTAAGCACCAGCCCCGTCCCATTTGTGTAACAGCCCCGGGCTGTGCAGCGTCACGCACAAAATCCACCGTGACAGGGGTGACAGATTCCCCGTGTTTGACCCCAGAGAGATGGCTCAGGGATGGGCAAGCTCAGCTTGACCCCGACACCAGAGGAACGCTTTTCTTCCAGTCTCCAGTTGGGTAGCGAGACCCTCCAGTGGATGTTTTGTCTTTATTAATTACAGTTACGCACATAATATTCCCACCCAGACAGCATTTCCAACACAACTGACACTCACCCTTCTTAGGAGTAAAATAATCCTTTGCAGCGGATGGGGAATCTGTTGTAGCAGCACTTCTGCCACGTCCGGCTTCTCCTGGCTGCCCACGACCTCGCTGGTGTGGAACAAGGTCAGCGTTAGTGCATTGCCTCTCGCTGCCCAACAAGGACAGAAGCCCTCTAAAGGCTATGTGGTATAAAGTTACCATCTCTTGCTTTTTCAATGTGGCAAAAAATAAGTTAAACAAAATCTGTAATAATGCAAGAGCAAGGAAATGATACATGAAGATACGTGTCACATGAAGCAAAGCTTTTTTAAGAGGAGGAAGTGAGTTCAGTCAAACTTGAGCTTTGAACCAGATGCCCAACCCTCAAAGAATATAAATTATACAGAGACATTTTATAGAAGAAAAGAACATGACAAAAAAAGCGCTCACTTCCACAAAATGATGCAACTTTAGACCGTTTTAAGTTTTGAAAGCAGTTGGCTTGGGGGAGGATGCCAGAGATCCCCATGTACTTTGGAGGACACGCGGATCCTTGGCTGGTCCCAGGAGAATAGTAGTTTTGGGTTTTGTACAAGGGTACAACAAATCTGAACGCTGAGGTAGCACAGCTCCGTGACGCTGAAGAGAAACACATGAAAAAATGAAAGCTCCAGGTACAGGGCTGGGAGTCACCGGGGAGTCCCGTCGATGAGTTCCCCTGAACTCCAAATGAGCCTCCAGGACTGACCTGGTGTCCTGAAGAAAGAAGAAGAATGGGAGGAGGAGATGGTATTTTGGAGTGACTTTTTATAAAGGTTGAGCTTCATTTCCCACGTGAAAGCCTTCTTAGATGGTTGGATGGCATTTCCGCGGGAATCTGAAAAAGACAATCACGGTGTGAAATTCATCGGATGGCTTTTTCACGGAAATGTGATAAAGGAGCAAATTAAGTTGGGAAACGTGGGACTTAATGTGGAATCATTTCAACTCACTCTGGGGAGGAGGACTCCTTTCCATTTCTTTTGCTCCAAGTTTGACAGATGTGCTTTTCTCTAGGGTATAAAGAGTACGCATTGCTAGGAGCACTCCGCCTTTCCTGCACAGCCCGTTCACTCTTTACTCACTTTAGCAGCACTGCATTTTTTTCTCTTTAAAATTGCAATATGACACACCCCTGACATGTCCTGTACTAAGCAATCACAATATGTTAAGCTGCTGCGTACCAAATACTGAACTCCTAATAAATACTGAACTCCAAGGAAAGCACCTTTGCATTCAGGCGCAGCTCCGCTCCAGACTCCGGTTGTTTTGTCCGTACTCGTACAGCGGATGCTCGCCTTTCCAACGAGCTGGAAGCCAGACTCGCAGCTGTAAGTCACTGTTGAATTATACACAAATTTTTCTACACCTTCGCCATCGTGCTTTCCGTTGGTAATTTGAGGAGGTGAGGAGCAGGTAATTACTGCAGGAAAGAAGGTCAACATGGGCATTGCTAAAAGCTTCAGTAATAGCGCAAATGCAAAATGTTTCTTGAGTCCACCTAAGATTCTTGAAGAGAACAGACTTTTTGGACAACTGGAGATGGGCAACTAGCACTGCCTTCTGTCTTGGTCACCTCCCTTTTGTTTCTGAAGTGTTTCTGTTGTCCTGTCTTTCCCCCTCTCACTCCAAGGGTCACAGAAACAAACGGGCAACTTGCCACGTCCTGGCTTGTGATTCCTGGAAATCTCATCTCATCACCGTCGCTACTACCTTAGGTCATGAGAAAACATTGTGATCTTGTGGGAACAAAACTACTGAAACACAGAGTCAGCAGCAAAATGGGTATTTCTCAGCTGCGGTGTTGGTGACCGATCTGCCGCATAATATCAACAAAAGCAACGGATGACGAGAGGTTTAGACTAGACTTAGGCTGCAGGATCTACGGGACTGAAGTCAAAAGTAAGGTTGGATTAATCTTACGTTCACAAGTCGGAAGTTTACTCCATCCAACACCGTTTCCTTTAAGCTGACACTGAATGAAATGACTCCCGTTTAACCTGTACCTAAGTGAAAATACACAAGAAAAGAAAAATTTATATAACTATCCAGAAACTGAGAACAATTCTTTTCCCCAGTAACAGTATGATCAGGAATGCAGAAAAGGCAGTTTCAAAGCAGGCAGACGTGTAGATACGCGCTGGTTACCAGGAGAGCTCCTTCACCTTGCTCTCCGCCAGGATCCTCGTTAATCTATTTTTAGGCGATTCTCTCCTTTGACTCATTGCAAGGACGGGAGAAGTCGTAGCCGGTGGCTAGCAGGGCACGCAGGGAATGCCAGGCAGCGCTGAGGTTAGATGTGGATTCCCACATGGATGCATCGGGCTTGGATTGTGCTGCATCAGGGACTAATTGTCCCTGGTGGAGAGCAGTGCTGGGATTCAGGCTGCCGGCATCCCGCGCCTTTCCCACGCCGCCGTCACCCACTCGGACGCGGTGAGGAGGTGCGGAGCTCCTTCCGAGCGCACACAGCACCTCTAAAGGCCGCGGCTCAGCCCCCGGCTGCTGCCGGTCAGCGGGATCCGCTGAAACGCGCAGTGCTGGTGGCAGAGGGCAGCAGGCGCCCAGCCGCCGTCCGTGCCACCCCCTCCCCAGCACGCTGCCTTTGGGTTGTACGGGTGTAGCCGCTCTGCTAAAGTTTTGCCCGGGGAGCAAATGTCAGCAGACTGCTGGTGTACCTGCTCAGCTGGTCTCTGCAAATATTCAAACGCATCCCGGACGCGCAGCAGGGACAACGAGGAGCAAATGGGATCTACGCTTCATTAAAGTGCCTTTTGGGTTGGCCTGCTGGAGCCTAACACGTCTGGTTCTGACAGCACCGACACCTTCCCCAACCTCTGAATTAAATCCTCCTGTTCAAACGAATTCATCATTTGGACGTGATTGATAGTATCTGATCTTGAGTAGATGGATAACATTATCCCTCCACCCTGATGTGTGTTTCCAAAGATTAGCTGAACCCCAGCAGGGTGGGACTCGCTGTCATTTCCCCAAAGTCCATCCTAAGGGAATATCTGGAGAAACCCCTCCTCTGTTATATTTGAAGCAGCTGCAAAGACCGGCAGAACAAGCCGGATGATGCCAGCCAGCTCCTGCCGGGGAGGGCAGGGATCCTCGCTGGAGTCTTAAGAGCTTAATCCTGCGAGTCCGTCTGCTGCGTGTGTGCCCTGAT